GTGATTGAAATAATTTGTTTACGTTTCACGGAAATTTCCGAAGTAAAAGGACAGTGCATGGCTGGACCTGTTCATAATGCCACTGTCTGCAGAGTTGTCGTTGTGATCATTTTTTATTGAATAAGCTTTGCTCCCTTCTGCGGTGGACTTCTCTAACCGACAGAGTTTTATTTCAATCGAGGATCCTAGACAACGCTTTCCGGACTCAGCTTTCAAACCAGAGTTCTCAATGAGTTTCAATAATCCTTATTAAGTACCCTTAAGAGCTTCAAGGGATGAATGCTTACCGTTAATGGGTATTTGAATTCGTTCCTTATTTGCAAGAAAACTCATGGTTCCTACAGCTTTTGGATCTACATAATATATCATTCCTACTAATTTGAAAATTTGCTCATTATCACTGTCTGCCATTGCACCTGACATCCCCACGCGTGTTAGCTTCACAAAAATAAGAGCTGATTGGTTGAAAAATGCAGACGTCACGGAAGTCGTTTCCCAGCTCGGGATCGCAGACGATAGTTTCTTGGCGGGTGAGACACACAAGAGCCGACAAAGGCGTCTACTCTACCAGGCTAGGTCATTAGGAAAAATAATAACGACTAGTCCTCTAAGGCATTTTAAAAAAGTTCTTTTGAACTTCCATCAATTATTTTTACCAAAATTTGTCTTCAGTTGAAACTTACCACCTATTTAAACCAAAATAGTTAGTTAAAAATCACGAATATCGCATAAAGTATTTTAAAGTTCATGTACTGTACGACAAGCAAACCATTCAGAATTTTGTTCCGCTTGAAAAACGTCTTTCCTACGGATAATTTATTGATCCCTGCGAGCGTTAGGCTTTTTTACAAAATGCTTTTGCTTCCCTACTAAAATGCTCCACCTTATTGCTCCATTTTTCCCACTAAAATGCTCGGTTTCCCCAAAAAAGTCACTAAAATGCTCGGATTATGCTCATTATACAAACGGTTTTTTTAAATTAATTTCAAAGTTTACACTTACAAAAACGTGCAAGTGTTGCAAGTAACAACGACAACGTGTACAAGTTCATAAATACAGCCAAAAAAACCAGCTGTATTAGGTTTTTTGTGAATTTTGAATTTTAGTCTTAATTTTGTTTAAAAAAGCAGGAGCTCGTGGGGCATGGGCTCCTGAAAAAAGTTAATTTCTATTTTATTTTCTCGGAAAAATTAATTTTCCGGGGAAAATGCCACTAAAATGCTCGAATAATGCTCAATGCTCGAAAAAATGCTAGCATAATGTGCAAAAGCCTAGCGAGCGTGTGCCCTGTGCTTTGTGGTTTTGGTTCTAAAGTTTTTTCTGATTGGTTATTTCACTCTAGCCAATCATAAGCAAGCAACGCAAGTGCATGAAACTTTTTGGTGAGGCGTTATAGTGTTTTCACACACGTGGCCAGCATCTATGCAAATTAATTGGAACAAAAGAAAGCTTTTGCATAAGAAAGGAGTTCAACTTCCACAGGACTGGTTTGGGACACCAACATGGCCGCCGTTTCATTGTTTTGGGTCACCAATATGGCCGCCGTGACGTCATGTGAAAACACTCTATAACCCGGGCATAAGTCAGACTCATAAAGTATCTTGCAAAGAAAAGTTATAGGCAGGAACTCGTCTTTTAGGTACTTTGGCAAGGCATAAAAAAAGGCAGGTGCTGCGTAAGTAAGAACAGAGCGTATACAAGCAGTGTAAAAGGTGGACATATCATACCGAGGAACTCTTGATCTTTTTAACTGCACTAAAAAATACAGACGCTTTGACGCTTTCTTGATTAGGTCACTAATATGTTCGTTCCACGTAAGGTTGCTCGATATGGTTAGACCTAGTAGTTTCGCACTAGTCACTCTCTCTAGTTCTTTATCGTATACTACAATAGGCGCAAACTGGGGCTCGTTCTTTGCAAAAGATATTCTGAGTTCCTTACACTTTTCGCTATTGAGTTTGACTCTATTCTGCATAGACCACTCCGCGACCTTATCTGCGATATCCTGGGCATAACTGCGGTTGCCCTTGGCAAAGACTTCTGATGCCGTCGTATCGTCAACGTACTTCCATGCATTAGCTAAATCATCAACATCTAAGTCGTTTATAAGTACAAGAAACAGCCATGGGCCTAATTTTTTTCCCTGAGGGACTCTGGAGGGCACTGAACCCCACTCTGAGTAACAGCCCTTACGTAGTTTGATTCTCTGGGAACGATCAGAAAGGAAATCTATGATCCAATTGACAATTCTTGTAGGCAGATTCAACCTGCACAATTTCTCTACGAGTATTCTATGAGCTATAAGGTCAAACGCTTTTTTATAGTCAAAGAGAATAGCTCAAACTGTAGCCCCGTTGCCATCGGTTTCCTTGGACCAGTTGTGAAGCATGTGTATCAGCGCCTGGGTTGTTGAGGAATTGGGAACAGCTCCATATTGGCTTGGGTCGAGCACATCCAGAACTGCAGGCTTTACGTAATCGAGAATTACGCACTCCTCTGCAACTTTCGATAGACATGGAGTAAGGTAGAGGAGACACATCCGCGAACTTCCAGATCTTCGGAAGAGACTGCTCACTCAAAGAGAGGTTGATGATTCTGCTGATTGGAAGGGACAAACATTCAGAATACTCCTTGAGCATACAGTTTGGTATCTCGTCAGGACCACAAGCCTTGGGAGGGTTTAGCGCAGTCAATCTTTTACAGATAGTACATCTAACCGATTTTTTGAAAACGAACCTAACGAAACTTGCAGTAAAAAAGGGCCAAAAAACAGGTTTTTTGCGCCCGATAAGCTGGAAAATCACACCAGCGAAGGAAAAGGAGAGGAAAAATAGAAAAAGCGAGAAGGAAGAAAGGAGTGGAGAGAAAAGGCAATGGTAGCATTCTTAGCTTTCATATTTGCTACTTCGTACACACCCTCACTCATGTTTCCCTGCAGTGCCCCCAGAGGCCCGGTATATCGGTACATTGGACACATAAGATCAATACAAAGACAAACCTTTTAAAGTTTTCTTTATTTGTTTGCACGGAAAAAACAACGGTGACGCATGGAGTTGTTCAGCTACGGCAACTACGGCGAGTCGGAGTCGGAGTCGTAAGCAGTGTAAGCAGAGTCATAAGAGCGCTTATGACCTAGTGAATATCAAAAAAAAAATAAGCGCGGCGGAATCAGAACAATTCAATTTTCTTCCGACTCCGTCGCTTATGTTCCGCTTATGATCAAGTGAAAACCAGATTTTTGGAGTCGGAAAGAGAAGCGGAAGGATAAACCAATCACGATGCACTCTCCCACGCTTTGTGATTTGTTTAGTTCTTCCGCTTCTGCTTGCGTCTCCGACGACCCAGTTTTCACTTAATCGTAACGACAGAGTCGTAACACGAATCAGAACGCTTTTTTCACTAGATCGTAAAGTTCTACGCTTCTGATTACGACTCCGAGTCCGACTCCGTCGCTAGTGTAAAACCAGCCTTAAAATCGCTTCTCTGGGCCTTTCTCTCGCTTAACAGCTGCTACAATAGCAACCACAAGCTTAGAATTCAGTTTTACAGGGCGTTTCTTTACCCACTCCATTATTTCGTGCACATTTAACACCCGTTTATAATGCTCCACCAAGAGCGGGAACTTGTCAAGTTCTCCAGGAACATCTTCCTTACCCTTCGAAAAAAAGTTGTTAAAGAAGTCAAAGAAAGTGACGTCGACATAGCATCGGATAAGAAACAGAAAGAAATCGTAGTTACGCTAGAGGCGTTTAACCTTTCTTCTGCGTGTGATAAGCCTCAGGCTATGTTTTAGGCTACAGTTGTGATTGATTTATCATTTATTAGAGAATAATAATAGGGGGAGGGTAATTTAAAAGAGAAAGGGGGGAGGGGGTTTTCACTTTCTTCCCCTGAAAAGGAGGGGCTTATTAGAGAGGGTAACCTACGAGCAAGCTCTCCACTTGGGAGATATCGTAAACTTTGCTCGCCCAAATAGGAGAGCTTGTTTGCAGGCTAAGATCTCACGTTTGCCGTTTGCCTTAAACACGATGCTTAATCTCTCTAATAAAGAGCTCGAAAAAGCAGTAAACGAATATCCATCGGCGCTGCCTGGAAAGGGGCCTTAAAATAAGGTAACGTACCAATTTTGAGGGTGATAAGTCCAAAGAAAGCGACAATATTGCTCCATCAAGTCTACACAAAATTGTACAGACTTTTGTATGGTAAGGGGAGGGTAACCAACTTACAGCTTTCCAGGTCAGCACTAGAGGTATCAGTAGAAGTTTTCATTAAAAGGAAATCAATGACTACATGTTGCTAGTGCTTTGTAGAATATTACATTTAAGATAAAGCAATGTCGTATAAACACGATAGTCGGTCATTAGGAAATAAACTTCCTAAAGTTTTTTAGGTAATGAAATTATATTTCAAATTATTACGTTTAAATCAAAGAGAATGTATAAAAGGCTGTCAAGGCAATGATAATTGTGTGTGATAACAAACTAACCGAGAAAAGTCGTAGGATTACCCTTGAATAATTCACCCAATTTGAGGGAATCCGGATTCCAGGATCCGGGGNGCAAACGGTTGTTAGTGAGATATTCATTAAATGAGTGCTTAGAAGGTGGTAGTTTGGAAGCAAGGTTATGTCCAACACTAGCAAAATGCTTATTAAGCACATTTGAGATTTCACTAGGGTCAGTTGAGAGACTACCATCAGGTTTTTTAATAACAGAAATTTGGTTTATTTTCTTCTTGGAGGTAGATATTAGGTTATTAATCCCTTCCCAGGTTGCCTTCATATTATTAAGATTTAGTTCGAAAAAGGAGTTGTAGTAATTCCTTTTACTTAAACGAGTTAACAGTGATAATTTATTACTATTATTATTTTCATTTTATTTCCTTCCTTTGCATTATACTTCCTCGTGTTTTGCTCTGTTAACTAAAAACTGCATTGCTCTCAGCGAATTAGAGTCCAGAACATGTATATGAATTCATTAAAGAACTAACCTTTGGTCTTGTTAAATTTTAGTGCGGGCCCATTGTTTTTGAGCAAGAATCATTTTCCGCTGAAGTTCTAGTTTCAATTGCCGCCACAGTTCATCTTCCTTTCGTTTAAAGCTGAGCTCCATGGCATTCTTTTCCCCTGCGAAAATTTTCGCAAGTTCATGTTTTTGAATTCTCAAACTATCAAGACCTTCTTTGAGGACTTCAATGCTCTGCAGCAGATAAGCTCGCTCAAAAGAGTACTTCAATTCACATTCGTCTTCCACGACTTTGCGCAAGGAGGCTTTGTCCTGCTGAAACCTTTCTGACATCGCAGCTTTTTCTCTCTCAAACGATCCTAACAAGATTTCTTCTTGTTTCCGCAGGAGAGTCAAAAGTTCCCTGTTGTCCGCTATATTAAAGACGTTGTTACAGCAACTGCTTGCAGTTCCATTCGCTGTTGACTTTGTAATGGTGTCAGGGATTTCGTTCTCGTTTCGCAAGCCCAGGTGATGGAATGCATCGCGATGAACGTGTCTAGTGAAAAGGTCGAATGATCTCCTCAGATCACAAAGTTCGTTCCGAAAGAAGTCTTTTTCCTCTGTAAGAACTCTAATAAGCTCGTCTTTAGCTTTAATGATCTCATTATACTCATTCCTCACTCTCTTTTCAAAGTCTTCTTTCTCTTCAGCAAATTCTTTCTCCATTGTCTCTCTCACTTGTTCCAGTTCGTCTTCAAATTCCTCCATTTGTCGCCGCAATATTTCGTCAAATTCTGTTTGACACGAAGATTCTTTGGTGTCTGTAATCTTTTTTCCATTGCTGGCATTTTTATCAGAGTTATCAACCTCTTCTTTGAAACAGGAAAACTTTTCTCTTTTACTCTCTGTCTCATACTTGCTGGATTTGAAACGTTCGCTTTTGTTTTCCATTGAGTTTTTCTTTCACTTTCTCCCTGGGAGGCTATAAATGGCCGAGAAAAAAATTGTATCGAGATTATGCTACCAGCAAAATGCAATTTAGAATAAGCTGTGTTTATAATTCATTTTCCTTTCGCCGGCAAGAGAAGTTCCATTGGAGTTCACTGATTTTAGTAGTGCTTACTTTAAGGATCTTGCGCCAGTAATTATAAACGACAGGTGCGAGATTAGTTTGTTTATAGTTTGTATTCCAAGACTTTTGTTTGAAAACTAAAACTACCTGTATATTATGCAAAGTAATTTGCGTAATACAAGTCGAAACCCCCGACCCCTGGTGGTCTAAGACAATCTCGCTGATAAAAATTTCATAAAGTTTTACTTCGCAAGCGTATCACCCTCATTTGAATTTCTGCTCAATTATTTTGTTTAGTCAGCTTTTTGATGAAAAAGACATCGATTGGTGCAACCAGTCAAGAGTGAACAGAAACTCTTGTTTTTTGATCTTTTCCTACATCGAAAAACTATTTTGGGCTACATTAGTTGCATTTCAGCCCGCTTTTAAGTCAGTTGAGGTCGTTTAAAAACCCCCAAAACTGGCCAATGTCCAATATTTTAATCATATCTGTCGCAACTTAGCAAAAAGCGCCCTTCAACTTGTACCGTACCACACGCTTAAGATGTAGAATTTAGCTTTAAACGTACTAAGTAAACTTTTTATTGGAATGCAACAGTTTTTGGACGGGATTCTTCTAAATTACAACTAAATGAAGCAAAGGTAGAATTCTTCGGCCTATAAGCTTCCAAATTGTGCTGTCTAAATTGCCACTGATTACGACGGTTTCTCAATAAAATAGGCGCAAAGGACGGCGGGATTGTAAATGATGGAGGAACGTCTTCCACCGTGGGAAGCTAGTGGACACGGGATAATCGCGGACGAAATTATTGCAAGCATAGTTGATCTAAAGAAGAACAAGAGAGCCAATTCCGTCCTGTCAAGTCTACTCCCGTACCAGAATGGAAGGCTATAAATGACACCAGTTTTAGTACCCAGCGGTTTTGAGTGAAAACATGGCAGGTACGACGTGTATGGGGGTGTCTATGAAGGCAACTAAAGCGTTTGAAGGATACCGTAAATAAGCCCCTTCATGTAAAAGCCCCTCCAAATATAAGCCCCCTAAAGTCGTATCGTCAAAAACCCTCCGTTAAATCGCCCCTCCAAATATAAGTCCCGGCCCCGTACTTGGAAATAGCCCTCAAATACAAAGTAAAACAAAGCAAGGCTAGCCCAATTGATTTTGAAACGCAAATTTCCATACGCAGATAAGCCTCTCCGAATATAAGCCCCTCAAAAAGGGCCTTTGAAGAATATAAGCCCCGGGGCTTATTTTCGAAATTTTACGGTATATATGTGTCGGTAAATTTTCGTCCCCATACAATACCTATCTACTAATAGCCTCGGTGCCCATTGGTGATGAGTTTTGCGGGCTCATAATCCTCAGATGTTATTACATGTAACCTTTCCTTGCGCCTTTCTTTTTCCTATCATAACTTTTCCTGCTTCGCTTATTAAAAAGAAAACGACTAAAATCAAACCTTTAATTTGCTCTGAATATTATGCTGATAAATAAATGAATAAATAAAGTAAGAAACATTTTTTTTTCTTTTATTAAGGCTCGAAAAAGCAAATACCCGTCGTTCGATAGGTTATCATTAGATTTTCCCAATTTATAAGATGGTGCATATGAACAGTTTCAACTTTCAGGAGAATTCGAACCTGTATGTTTAGCCTGCGAGCAAGCTCGACTCCATTTCGAGTGCGACTGTTGCGTAACAAGGCTGGCTGTTCTTCACTTGCACATCTTCTTTTGTGTCCCACTCGCGCGCGACTTTTCGCAATGAGCTTCCTCGCAGGCTACTGTTACGGGCGCCCAACGACTTTTTCTGTAAAACAACTGTTCGAAGGAGCAATATTGTCTAGAAATTTGTTGAGCTCAAGAAAGGCTAAAAATTCTGGACAACTGCCAGTCCTATTCGTATAAGGTATTCGGAGTTTACAACGATTTTCACATTTTTTTTTACCAACATATTGCAATCATTATTAGAAAGGTCTCCTGAGAATTTCCATATAAAGTACGACTACTCCATGTCCTCTATTTTTCGATCAGTCGACCCATCATGGTAGCTAACAGTTTCAGGTGAGACGAAAAAGCCTCCAAAAACTTTCGAGACGACCAAAATTCCCATAAGATACTCCTGACTTAATTGGAACCATTCGGTCGTTGCATTTGGTGCCTCTGTACTGTATATCCTCAATCAAATTCACATGACGTTACAATGTTACCTATCAAACCCGCAACGG